ATTTGCCAAACTAGGAGCTGCTCTCTGAAACGAATATTTTTCATTGAAGGAGGCAGGAGGGCTTTGCATTTTCCCACAGGAGACACCAAGGGAGTGTGTTACAAAGGCTGCAGTGGAGCAGGGATACATGGTTTTTGCTGTTACAGGTGTGGAAGTTTCACTGAGGTGTGTTGGGAGGAGGCAAAGTCTGTGCTCGGCCTCAACCAGCCCAGCCTGGTGCTGAGTCTGGGAGCTGGTGCACCCCTACAACTGTTTCTCAGGCGAGAGAAATGTGGGATCTTTCTCAGGTCTTTCTGTAGTGATGTCATCCAAATGGATTTCCTCCTGGTGTGTGGAGTCCTCTGTGAGTGCAAGCTGGAGTGGAACTATTGGCTCTGCTGTGGATAAACTTTGGCCCAGCAATGTGCAGATCTGGCCTTTTTTTGGTCTGCTTTGCTCTAAAGCAGGTGGTTCTGTAGCATTTTGATGTCAGGAAGATGCTTCAAAGCCTTTGGCCTCAGAGCTGCAGAGGTGTGAAAACAACCATGCACACCAGCTCAGAACATCTCACACTTCTGAGATGAACTGAACCCAATCCAAGGCAAAGAGACACATCTGCCTACACAAGCTGTGGCTCCAAACAGGGCTGTGATGTTGTCTGCTAGACTGGGAAAGAAGAGTAGTTACAAGAGCACTGGCATTTTGGGAGCATCACTTTATGTGATGCATGCCCTGTTGTACTGTGTCTAATTTAGTACAAGCTCTGACCAGTGCTCTTTCCATGGTGACACAGTGGCTAAAACCTGTGTCCATTTTGGATTATGGAATGTTTAATCATTCAGTTTAGCTCACACCATGGCCTTTGCCTCAGTGGGATCACTAAACTGAGTCTTCTGCTACCATATCTCTACTTCTCTTGAATCGTTTCCACTCACTGGTAGATCTGATGGCACTTGGCCCTCAGGGTCTCAGACCATTCCACAAACTTGTATTGGTCACTTTGCACAACAGACACCATGCAGGAGTGCCACAAAATGGGTCTGTTACTGCTAGCAGTAGTGGGACTCTTGGCTTGATGGCACTTGGCCCTCAGAGTCATTCCACAAACTTGTACTGGTCACTTTGCACAACAGACACCATGCAGGAGTGCCACAAAATGGGTCTGTTACTGCTAGCAGTAGTGGGACTCTTGGCCAGGCTGGGTCCTTGTAGAGCATCAAAGCCTCATGCTCTAGAGGACAAACATTTGCTATGAAGACAGATTGGAGAGTTGGGGTTGTTCATCCTGGAGAAATAAAGGCTTTGGGGAGACCTTAGAGCACCTTCCGTTATCTGAAGGAGCTACAGGAAAGCTGGGGAGGGAATGTTTACAAGGACATGAAGTGACAGCATGAGGGAGAGCAGTTTCAAACTGAAATAATCTAGTGGGAGGTGTCCCTGCCCATGCAGGGAGGTTGAAACTAGATGATCTTTGAGGTCCTTCCAACGCAAAACATTTTGTGATTCTATGAATCCATGTGATTGTTTCTGTTGTTTTGGTCAGGTGAGCCATCACAGCTTAGGATACAATTTCAAAAGTAGTCCCAATGTAACTAGAATATCTCAAATGCTTTCTGATCACTGGGCCTATGTGGAGCTCCTTTGTGGTGCAGGTGACCGTCCTTTCCAAGGTGCCATCTTCACAGATGAGCTGTGCCTGGTTGTTCTTGTTCAACATTTTTCTTGATCCTCAAAGGCTTTTGCAGATATCGTAATTATTCAGAGTCACTTCATTACTCATAAAAAATAATACTTGAATTGTAGTGAGTTGACCTGTAGTACTGAAGAGTTTGCTTGTTCTACACAGGCACAAAAAAAGGTGAAAATCCCTGTTCCTAGAACTTCAATCTATTCTCTCCTAGAGGTTTCTGAACTCCCTTTATCTACACCACAACAGGAGAATAAAATAAAGCAAAACACTAGACATTAGATCTGTTTGGAGAAGATGGCTCTGAAACCACTCAGAAACTGGGCATAGCTTGTTTTTTTTCAGCTGAGTCTGTTTAGTTGAAAACAAAGGTTACCTTGGCACTTTGGAAGCCTGTAATCCAGCTTTGAATGTGAAGAGGGGCAATGTCTTATTTGAGGTGTAAAAAAGCTGTGAGGTTCAATCTTTTAAAAAAGATAAGGGATTTTTTTTTGAGAAGCATAAGAAGGGGGACTGAGCAAGATCTGTGAATCAGGCACCATTAAGACAGCTCAAATTTGGCATCTGGAAAAGGAGGCTCCTGAAATCTGTTGACAACTCTGAAAATCCTTTTTTTTTTTTCCCCTCTCCTGCCAGCTTTCAAAGTTCGAACCGTGTTCTTTTTATCACATTTGTCATTCCTTAGTAATGAAACTCTGGCATTCAAAATTTGGCTGACAACTTTGTGGGTATGAGCCAAAATGAAGTTCAGCTTGCACCTTTCTCTGATGCTTCCTGTGCTGTTTGCAGCAAGAGGACGAAGCCTGAACTAGAGGGACTCCAGCCTTATTCATTATGACAATTACTGCCTTATCTCTGATGCCAAAATTAAGCTTGTTTTCTTTATCCTAATGTAGATGGACAGGAACTGATGAGGTGTATGCAACAGGAATGTTGAAAGAGATAGCACCATGTATAAACCATTTCCTTTCATCTTAAATAATTTAAAGGCCATAAATATTCTGGAAATCCTACAAAAGACTTAGAGCAGTTCCAGGCAAGCTTAGGTATTTTATAGAGGCTCAAGTCTAGCACTTTAAAGTTTGCTAATTTTAAATACATTTAAATGAGCTTTCAGTCATCAAGATCTATCAAACTGAATGTATAGTTCAAGTGACATAGGGAGAACTGGCTTTTGGGAAGGAGCACAACTCAGACATGAGGTGTGGAACAGTCTGCTGGGCATGACTTCTAGATTCATCTGTGGCCAACTGTGTGGATTGCATAAGGTATTTAGGGTATAAACTGAGAATAGGCCAGAGCCCAAGTGTGCCAAGCACCCATGCTGGAAGCAAGCCCAACCATGAGCATTTCTTCATTCGGTTTTTGGAGCAGATGGCTTGAGGATGCATTTTGAGAAGGCTCAGGTTTGGTCTTCTTGTCTGGCAGTAACAGTGGCAATATTTGTGCCCACAGTGCTGTTTGCACTGAAGTCTGGAGTCCTCCTGCACTAACCACTGAGGTTGCACATTCTCAAGTCCTGTAGGTCTGGTTCTGCATGGTCAAGGCATTGACACCTTGTAGTCATCTGTACACTGTACCTGCTACACCTGTAGCTGACACCCATCTCTGGGAAGGGCTGAGCAGTCACTGAGCTTTTAAAACATTGAGAAGGCACAATGTGGTTCAGACTGGGTCACTCTTGGTTGACTAATGTGGCATTTCCCTAGAGAGTGGAGCAAAGGACAATGCTTCCTTTCAGCAAAACATGAGGGCTGCTGTCATTTAATTATTTTGGACCTATTGTGTTTAATTACAGCCTTTCCTGGGCTCCCCTGTAGGGTAATGCGCTTTAAACCATGTATCCAATTGTTTGTTCAGATGAAATGTTCTAATTTTCAAATGCTTGTGATTTTTTTCCTTCTATAGGTGTTGCTATATTAGCAACCTGTCTGTATCACTGTTGATTATCTCACACATAGGTAAGATTTTTTTGGAGAGACAAATATCTTTGGAGGAGAAAAAAATGGTTCCCATTTACAGGGAGGTAGAACTGAAGTCTAGTTTTTGTGTTTCTGACTAAAAATGCACAATGCATTTGAAGAGGCATCTGAATTTCCAAAGCTGAGATTGGCTAAATTGTTTTTTGATGCTCAACTTTTACTGATTTCAGCAAGAATTGAAACAGAATTTGAGTCCCAGCAGCAACATTGACACGTTTCAATTCAGGTCTTACGAAACTGTGTGGATACAGATCCTGAAAGTAACTCATGCTTATGGTGTAGCTCAGAAATTACTCGGCCTTTTTTTTTTTAATAGATATTCTGACTATATTCTTCATTCTTTCTTGTTACAAGTGTATTGACTCAGTAGTTGACATGTGATGTTCTCAGGGTTGATTCTTGTGCTTAGTGGGGACCAGCACCTGGAGTTCCTGTTGTCCTTTTGAGGAACTGGAAGGTTGCACAGCCTTTTTTTCTCTTAGGTCATTAGTGAATACAGGAAGGGACTTTATAAATCATATCTGAGCCTATATAGTAAGCAGGAAACAAGTGGCTACACAAGCAGTGGTGAGTTTTGAAGGGGAGAGATGGAGATGATAAGCCATGCTGTTGTAGATCACTGTCAGTGGCTATAGTGGAGCAAGATTGAGCTTGGATATTAGGAAGAACTGCTTCATAGAAAGGGTTGTCAGGCAGTGGAACAGACTGCCCAAGGCAGTGGTGGAGTCACCATCCCTGGAAGTGTTTAAATGATGTGTGTTTATGGTGCTCAGGTACATGGTTTAGTGGTGGACTCTGCAGTGCTGGGTTAATGATTGGAATGGATAATCATAAAGGTCTTTTCCAATTGATTCTAAGATCTTCCCTCATTTTGGATGTAACTGTGTGCACATGTTGCCCAAGGAACTGGACAACAAACCATCTTTTCTCCTCATCTGGATCGTAATTGTATCTGAAACTGTAGAGCTGGTAAACCCTAAGGAGATGTCTATAAAATACATGTGGCAACTCAGAGTCACAGAGCGGTTGGGGTTGGAAGGGACCTCTGAAGATTATCTAGTCCAACCGCCCTGCTAGAGGAGGATCATCTACAGTAGATCACACAGGAACTCATCCAGATGGGGTTTGAATGTCTCCAGAGAAGGAAGAACCACAACCTCTCTGAACAACCTGTTCCAGTGCTCTGTTACTCTCACAGGAAAGAAGTTTCTCCTTATGTTTAGCTTGAACCTCCTGTGCTCCAGCTTGTGCCTGTTGTCCCTTGTCCGGTCATGGGACGGTGCTGAAAAGAGCCTGGAGCCCATTACCCTTTGCTGTGCTAAGCATTTCCTTTCTTCCTTCCCCCTCCCCAGCAATCAAAGAGAAGTACCTGGACTGGACAGAGTTCCTCATACACGATCTGACCGGCGCTCGGACCGCACCTGCCAATTTGCTGGAAGGCGTATGTATTAGATTGCAGTTCCTCTCCCCGTGGCGTGCGGTGCCTGCTCTTCCCCCCCGTGGGGCTGTGTGCTTGCAGCGTCTGTGTGCTGGCAGCAGGGCCTGGGCCAGCCTTGGGTCACGTTGCCATGACTTTGCTTCTCCCCCAGGGATGGACAGTTTGTTGTGCCTTGTGGCTGGTGGTGAGGAAGTGGGGTGCGGCAGAAGGGCTGGGCGGTGAAGGGGAGCGTGGAGAGAGTCTGTAGGAAGGAGGGTGTGGACTTTCAGTGCCCTGCTAGATCCACCAAACTGATGATCTGACCTTTCTGGTCAAAACAGAGGCTGGAGAGAGGGTTTAAGGGCGTTGATGGGGAGCTCTGTCAGATTTCTGTGTACAGGGAAATAGCTCCTCCAAGGACATCCCCTCCACCTAAACAGAGCAGTCAGTTTCAGCAGGGAGCTTGGGTGAGGTGGCCTCAGTTGTAGGTAGTCTCAAGAGAAGAAGGGGTGTTTTTTTCAGATGTACTCATATGGCCAAGAGCCCAGTCTGCGGAGCATATTCACAAGGTGACTTGCACCTGGGGAAGCCTCAGCTTGCCTTGAGATCTTGGCCAAAAATCCTGCAGATTCATCTTGAAACTGTGGGAGTGGGGCACCTTCTGCATTAGGACCTGCCCTGCATCTTGTGTGAATGCTTCTCATGAAATCCCCACATCATGTCCCCAGCATTGGACACTTTTAAGAATTAACTGGGTGGGATGCTGGGCCATCTTGTCTAGAACTTGCTCTTGCCAAGGAAGGTTGGACCAGATGATCCTTGAGGTTCCAACGTTGTGTTTTATGATTCTGTGATAAGGAGAATAGACAGACTGTCCTGCAGAAGAGAATTCCCTCTGCCCCTCTGTATTTAGGCTGAGGGAAGGCATGCAGGCTGTTTACCTCGGTGTAAGAGCTCATGTTGGTTTTTTGGAAGCCAGCATGCATCCAGGCACTGTTTTTTGATAGTTTTGACCCTGGTCACTCCCACCTGCCACAGCTGCCTCCTTTGCCACATGCCTGTGCAGTTCAAGCAGCCTGGCAGGGAAAATTCATAGTGTATCACCAGGGACTTTTCCCCACCCTGTCTCTTAGCCAGTCAGCCCTTGCACACCCAAAACAATGCCCATTCTCATGTCTGCTGCATCCCTCTTCCTGGACCACTCCCAGGTGGTGTACACAAAAAGCTGGAGATACCCACCACCCTTCCCTAGTCTATGTCGTTGTGCACCGCTCCGTTCCCTTTCCACGGCAGAGAAAAGTGTCAGTCCCAGGCAGAAATGCAGAGAGAGAAAACATTGCATTGGTTTGAAACAGTTTCTGACCCCTTTTTTTGGTATTTTATATAAGAAATGTGCTTAGTACTGTCTGTGTCATGCAATGTATGTAACCCCTTGTCGACACATTTGCTGTTGGTGAGTGCTGCAGATTGTTGTTGTGCTGTAAAATCAATATGTAGTGAGACTGGTTGGGGTTTTTTATTTTTGCATGCTGGCCATGCATACCAAGAGTTCTCACATTATGGTAAATGTTAATATTTCATGCAAGCCAATTATTAATCTTAGCCATTCTGTTCTCAGGGGGAAGTGACAACCCATTGACTTAAAATTTAGCACACAAATCAGAGAAGCAATATTCGTTTTTTTTTTTACAGCCAGGGATTTATTATAATAAGTGGAATCATTACACACACGTTTCATATTAATGTTTTGTTGCAGCGAAACAGTTTTGTGAGAGAAACAAGGAGCACATTAAAGTAGATTTCTATTAAATTATTAAATTCTGACACTGCATTTTGCCATCAAATAATATTTGTAGATATTATACAGGTGTTTGTAGCCTACACTACAGAGGAGTGGTTTGTAATGGCAAATATATTGTTCTAAGAAATATTTATTAATCATAGAGGTGTTTTAACCCTGTATATGTGACAAGGTTATATTTAATTTTTATTACATTTTTTACCAAATTCTCATTCTGTTGCCTGCATTTTTTACTTAAGAGAGGTATAGTCAAAATCAGTTGCATTTCAAAATTTTGAATATTTTCAAAATTCAGTATGAAAGAGAACTTTGAACAATAAGGCTTTTTCCTCTTCTTTTTTATTTTTTGGTCTGGGTTTTTTTCCTATCCATCCCTAGAAAGAAACATTCTTACTGGACTTATTCTGATTTATGGAATTAAGATTTTTTTAAAATAACTGTGAAAGGTTTCTGTTGTTTAATTTACTAGAAGTGGGACAAACAGGAATAAAAAGTCCTTTTTTAAATATATTTTGGCTGCTCCTTACATCTCTTCTAATGAGCAATGCTGGTAACTTGAGGTGTTTTTTAGTGCTGCCCTTAAAATCCTGGAACTGAGAAATTGCGTAAGAATTGGAATTTGCATTTAAAAAGAAAGAAAGAAATAGAAAAGAAGAAATTATAACTGTTGCACTAGTGGAGAAAAGCTTGACAACACAGAGATGCTCACTATCACAAAACAAAAACACTGAACCCCAAAGGTATCATTCTGCAAAGCAGCTCATGGTTTTTTAATGCCTGTTGTTGGCAGCTTTGCAGGTGTAAAGTTGAGCACGTGTGTCAATGGTTGCAAAGTTGAGATCACACAAAATACTGTGTGTAAGCAAATAACCTCATTCACTGGAGTTTCTTGGGCATGGTGGCTTGATCCAGCAAATCCTGTGTGCCTGGAGCTTTGATCCCAAGGCCACTTAAGGTGATGTGAACCTGCTGTTGGCTTTGGGGTATCCACCACAGCCTCTTGTAACCATGCCAGTGGGGAGTAATTTGCTTTACATGCCAGTAGGAATGAGGTGAATCCTTTGGTGGAAAACATCAGTGCACAGAGAGCAATTTCAAGTTGATGCCCTTTTAGTTATGTGCCAGCATCCAGTCCTGTGATTGGTTCTTATCAGCTGCAGTCAATGAGAATTTGGTTTGAAATCCTTCAATATAACTGGGCTTTGAGTTGTTCAGGAGCATCCTAAGTGGATGTGCCTTACGAGCTGTTCCACCTTTCATTACTCTTATATTTTTGTTATTGTTGCTGATGTCGGTTGAGAAATTGAGAAAACTGTTGTTTTCTGTTTTACTTCTGAATTTGCACTTGGAAGACATTGGGTAAAATAGAAGAAGAACAGACTGTTTGCTGATCGCTTGGATGGTGGTGTGAAAAACAAAAATAATCTTCTGCTGTCATCTGTTTCCTTGAGAAGTCTTCAAATAAAGTTTAAAATAAGGAGTTTTGCTTCTATTCAAACAGCCTCTGCGAGGAAAAAACCCTGTAGACCTCATTACAGTTGATTCCTTAATAGAGCTGCAGGATTCCCAGAACCCCTTTCAGTACTGGATAGTTAGTGTGGTTGAAAATGTTGGAGGAAGATTACGCCTTCGCTATGTGGGATTGGAGGAGACTGAATCCTATGACCAGTGGTTGTTTTACTTGGATTGCAGACTTCGACCAGTCGGTTGGTGTCAAGAGAATAAATACAGAATGGACCCACCTGCAGGTAAGGAGCCTCCTAAAACTCCTGTCTCTGTAGCATTTACTGATGCTTTCAGTTACTTGTGCAACCTGTTTCTTCTTCTCCAGTATTTGCATTGCTTTGACAGTAGTTTCTAGGTGGAATGCAGATGGCATGTGATAGCCATCTAATTTAGGTTCAAAATGGTTCAGGTAAACTGTATTAAATTCATTTAATGAATTCAGTTTAGTTTAGGTCACTCCTGGAAGGAACCAGTGCCCAATAAAAGCAGCTTTGTGTATTGGTCCACCAGAAGGTGGAGCTGAGGAGAATGGTCCAAGGATGTGCCTGGTTGCTCAGCCCTTTTTGGTGGTGTTTTAGTGGCCTTGATTTCTGGCCATACTGTAGACATCCTGTTGGAGGCCTCACAGGTAGCCAGTCTTCTGTTGTCCAAATCAAGTCCTAAGTGACATCTCTTAAGATACAGTAGGCTCCATTTGCTTTCCCTTCCACTAAACACCTCTTGCCCGTTTGTCTTTCCATGGCCACACACATTTCTCCTGGGTAACAGCAGACCTCCATGAAGTTTCTCTGGGGGGCTAAAGAAAGTGTTTTGGGACCCTCATGGTCCTTTTAACACAGGTCTAACTTGAGGTCTCTAATGCTTTTTGGAAGCATGTGTTTTTTCTTCACTGATAGGTAGGAATCAATGTTCCCCATTACTTCTAAATCAGATGTGAATGCTAGAGAGCATGAATATACCTCACTCTGTTATTTGACAGAGTGTTTGTGTTACACAGAAACACTTTTTCATTGACTGTCTTTGAACTCTCTCAGCCTGTAAAGGTTTGGTGAATCAATACAGAGATGGCCCAGATGAGTTGTTCTTCCTCCTTTTTAAATTCTATTTCTCTTTCTACTCTTTCTTCCTTCTATCCAGTTGTGCTTCCTTCTCTATGGTTCCCACCCCTCTCTGCCTTTTTTTTTTTTTTTCATTTTTTCAGTTTCTTGTCTCTAAACTTGTTATTGGAATCTTTGTTTGCTGAAGTAATTTACGGTTCTTCTCGCGTCTTCTTGATTTAACTGCTTTTAAAATTTCTTTCTCTTGTTCTCATCTGTCTTCTGATGTCTTTTTCCTCTCCTTGGCATTTCTCTGGTCATTCACTTTTTGATGAACATTGTTATTCATTAATTCAGTGTCCCAGATCTTCTTCCTGACTTTCATTGACATAAGGGGGCATTACTTCCGACCTCCTAAAGGAGGTCCACTTCCCACTTTCTCACAAGTTCTCTCCTGAATACTGCCCCAAAGGACCTTTGATCCCACCTCTGCACTACCCAGTTGTCAGACTCTGCACTCCAGTAGCCAGTCCAAAATGAGAATCTGGTTAATTTCTGAAGGCAGAATGTTTGTTGTTTGACTTCTAACATAGTGGACTGTAGTGGTCATTTGATGTCCACCTGACATCAAGATGTTCTTAAAGCACAGTGGATGGATAAAGCTTATGAAACAGTTGTGGTATCACATTAAGCCAGAGGAAGAGGAGGGAAAAAGCCAAGTGACTCATTTTAGGAGATCTTTTTTGGATTAGAGTCTGCAAAAGAAATTCTGGAGCAAGCGGGCAGGTGAGCAGTAGTGAGTTGCCAGGGTAAGATGCTGGCAGCAGAGAACTGTAAAGAAACTCAGGGATGAAGCCAGTACACCACAAATTGTCAGAGGGTGCTGTTCCTTGAGTACCCCAGGCCACGAGAGAGTGCCCAATACACAACCCTACCTTCTTACCTCCTTCCTTGTGACTCCTATAGAAAACAGAATTTGGACTTGTATGGCATCTTGCAGTGCATTAAGAGGAGTGTCTCCAGCAGATCGAGGGAGGTTCTCATCCCCCTCTACTCTGCCCTGGTGAGACCTCACTTGGAGTATTGTGTCCAGTTCTGGGCTCCCCAGTTCAAGAAGGACAGGGATCTACTTAAGAAAGTCCAACGGAGTATATGAGGATAATGAAGGGACTGGAAGACCTGCCTTCTAAGGAAAGGCTGAGAGACCTGGGGCATTTCAGTCTAGAGAGGAGAAGATTGAGGGGGGATATAATTAATGTCTATAAATACATGAGGGCTGGACATCAAGAAGGCAGGGACAACCTATTTTCACTTGTGCCTTGTGATAGGACAAGGGGCAATGGACTCAAACTCGAGCACAGGAAGTTCCACCTCAACATGAAGAACTTTGCTGTGAGGATTACAGAGCCCTGGAACAGGCTGTCCAGAGAGATTGTGGACTCTCCTTCTCTGGAGACTTTTGAGACCTGTCTGGATACCTTACTGAGTAACCTGCCCTAGTTTTGGTCCTGCTCTGGCAGGGGGGGTGGACTCGATGTTCTTCAGAGGTCCCTTCCAACCCCTGATGTTCTGTGATTCCATATGCAAGACCAAGTATGGACCTGCTTACTAGAGTCTGTGGGCACTGTGTTGGTTTTTACACATCAGGGATTAGATTCACCTGCTGTAGTGTAGGCATCAAAAAGACAGTTCAGCATGAGGTGTTGCTTTCTCTGTATGATTGGTGGAGAATTATGATCAGTGGATCAGTAGGACCAGTTTTCTTGAATACCTTTATCAATAATCTGGATGAAGGGATTGAGTTCACCCTCAGGAAGACCATGCCAAGTTGGGAGGGAATGTTGTGCTGCCTGAAGGTAGGAAAGGTCTACAAAGGGGCCTGTACAGGCTGGATTGATGGGCCAAGGTCAGTTGTATGAGGTTCACCAAGGCTTAGTGCTGGGTCCTGCACTCAGGTCACAACAACCCAATGCACCACTACAGGCCTGGGGAAAAGTGGCTGGAAAGCTACCTAGTGGGAAAAGAACCTGGAGGTGTTGGTCTACATGTGGCTGAACACGAGGCTGCCCAGGGAAGTGGTGGAGTCACCATCCCTGGAGGTAATTAAAAGCTGTGTAGATACTGTGCTGAGGGGCATGGTTTAGTGGTGGGCTTGACAGTGCTGGGTTAATGGTTGGACTTGATCTTTAAGGTCTTTTCTAACCTAAACAGTTCTATGAGAAAAGTGGATGCCTAAGTCATGTCTAACAAAAATCAGATGAAACACCTTCATAAGCCTAATTTTTCCACTCCGAGGATAGGAAGCAGTGAACAAAGACCTGTTTGTCTAACTTTTGAAATCGGAAGCTGGTTGAGATGAGTCCTTGATTGATAATGGGAACAACCATAGACTGTATATCAGAGCTGTTAGGAATCTTCTCCAAAGAAGTGCTGAGGACATGCAGCTCCTCCCAAATCCAGCTGTGTGTTCAGTTGTCGTTGAATGAGGATGTTCAGTGCTCCGTCAGTTCTGCAGGTTGTGACAGTGTTTTCCCTACCCTTGACTTGGATGCTGCATCTTCAGCTTTATTTCCATTTGCTTGACACAGAGCCACTGATGGTCTTGCCTCGACTGCTTATGCAGGAAGAGAGTGTTTCATTTCATGTTACTTAAAGACAAATGTGCAGTCACTGTAATTTTTAATGACTCATTTCTTGTTAACCTAAATACAAACTGACACGGTACACTTTGTTCAATTACCTGCAGCCCTATCACTTAAACAAAATGCTTTATGCTCTTTGAACTGTGTGATTTAGTGTCCATATCCTTGCCAGCATAAGCTGCCATTAATTAAGTGCACGTATGATATTGCTTGCTGGTTTTTGAAACCACTGGAGTTGTCTTTATCTCTCCAAGTTTGTTGACACTATCCAAAGAAGTTACTGCTTGTTTTCTGTGGTTTTGGGCAAATTGGCTCAAAATGCCATTTTCTCCCCCTTTCCTGTGCATCACTGCCATCATGGTAGAAACCAAGGGTCTGTTTTCACCTTGTGGGGGAGCATCCAACAAGGTTTTCCAAAACTCAAACTTTTTCACAGAATTGTCAAAATTGGAAGTGACCTCTAGAGATCATCTAGTCTAACTCCCCCACTTAAGCAGGATTGCCTAGAGCACATGACTCAGGACTGAATCCAGATGGGTCTTGAATATCTCTAGAGGAGGGAGCTCCACAACCTCCCTGGGCAGCCTATGCCAGTGCTTTTGTCACTCATAGTAGTTTTTTTTCTCATATTTAAGTGGAACTTCCTGTGCTCCAGCTTGTGCCTGTTGTCCCTCATCCTGTCACTGGGAACTACTGAAAAGAGTCTGGCTCCATCCTCCCAGCTCTCTCACCCTTTCCTCATAAGGGAGATGCTCCAATCCCCCAGTCATCTTTGTTGCCCTCCTGTAGTCTCTGTCTAGCAGATTCCTCTCTCTTGAACTGGGGAGCCCAGAACTAGACACAGTTCTCCAGCTGTGGCCTCACCAAAGCAGAGTAGAGGGGCAGAATGACCTCTCCTGACCTACTGGCAGTGCTCTTCCTTATGCAACCCAGGATTCCATTGGCCCTCTTGGCCACAAGGGTACATTGCTGGCTCATGGATTATTTGCTATCTACCAGGACTCCCAGATCCTTCTCCTCAGAACTGCTTCTCAGCAGGTCCACCCCTAACCTCTATTGGTGCCTGGTGTTCTCCGGGAGCAGGATCCTACACTTGCCCTTGTTGAACATCATGAGGTTCTTCTCTGCCCAGCTCTGCAGTCTGTCCAGGTCACACTGGATGTCAGCACAGCCCTCTGGAGTGTCAGCCACCCTTCCCAGTTTTAAATCATCAGTGAACTTGCTGAGGTCACACTGTTGATGAAGATGTTGAACAAGACCCCTGGGGGACACTGCTGTCTACAGGCCTCCAACTTGACCCAGCTCCATTAATTACAACCCTCTGAGCCGTGTCACACAGCTGGCTCTCAATCCATCCCACTGCCCACACATCTAGCCCACACTTCCTGTGTTTCCTAATGAGGATGTTATGGGAGACAGTGTCAAAAGCCTCACTGAAGTCAAGGTGTCAAGATGACATCTGCTGCTCTCCCCTCATCCAGCCAACCAGTTATGTTGTCATATAAGGCTAGCAGATTGGTCAAACATGATTTCCCTTTGAATCCATGCTGATGTCTCCCAATGACAGTTTTTGCTTTCACCTGTTTTGTGATCATGTCCAGAATGATTTTTTCCAACATCTAATTGAAACAACAGGGTGTCTGCATCTTAGGGTAAAATTACGTTGTAGCTTCCAGTTTGGCATCATTTGAGCCAAAAAAATGAGAAACAGGGTGGGTCATTTCCCTCCCTGCACTTCAAATCAGTCAGATCTCCTGCAAGTGACAGAGCAACAGGACTATAATTAATGAAGAATTAGGTAAAGAGTGGGCTTCCTAACACTTGTGACTGCTGTATGTGCTGTAAAAGAAGACTTGAAATGTATTTTCCTATTAATAACCATAGAGTCGAGGAATTAAAAATGCAGCCCTGAGAGGTTAACATTTCCCTTTAAGTGTGTTTAAATTCATATGCTTATTCTTGATGTCTGTTCTGAAGTAGTGAGGTTTGATATAGTGGAAGTATAAATACATCCACTTCCAGTGAGTGATTCTGCAAATCCTATTTTGATAAGGTCTTAAATCTGTTGAGATCTGAGCATAAAATTCTCTTGTAGCATCAGTGCTAGGTGAAAACATTGCTTGCCAATTACTTCTTTTATACATATTTTTATTTCCTCCTTCAGAACTGTAAGATAGAACAGTAAATCTTTGCTAGCTAGTAAATATATATGGTTATGAGATGTACAGAATTTAAATGCAAATTGGGCCAAATTGAACTGTGATGCAAGTGTGTGAAGCCAAACTGACAAAAGCAAAGCTTCACACTATTCAGTCTGTATCAAAGTTCAAGTTTATTATTAAGTAAACGTTCATTTCCATTTTAATAATTGTTGCAATCTATCTACCTATCTTGTATCTTTAAGACCTTGATATGAATGTTCTGCAATAACTTGTTATGTGCAGGATAACAATATGTTTTCTAGGGCAGAAGTAAATCCAATATAATGTTCTTCATCATAATATTGTTTCCTACATTGTTTCCTTTGATGATTCATGGGCATTTCACTCCCCTGAACCATACAGGGCTTGTTAATATAATGATTTAATAATATTAAACCTATTTAAAGAAACTCACTGAAAGCAATGTGGATCTGTACAAAGATGTTGCCTAAATGTGTGATGATGAAAATTTATAAATGTAGGTCTTTGAATTGGTGTGATAGCGTGGTTTGAGTATGGTAATAACAAATGAGTCTGGGTAGAGACTGAGCTTAAATGTTCCTCCCCACACTTACCCACACCCAATGCAAAAAACCCACATCTTGTTCAAATATAACTAATATTGGCTGAAGACCTGAGGGTCCTCAAGCTGGAAAACATCAGGTACTTTGAGAATTGAAAATCAAAGGAGGGTTTATGTTCTTTTCCAGTACCAAGATAGTACAGTTCTCGTTTCTTCAGCACAAAATGAAGGACGTGTATTTTTCTGGTTTTTACTCCAGGATATAAAACATAATCTTCCTCAAATGTGCCTGTGCTGGTTGCTTTTGTGTTGAATTTGTCCTTGCTGTACAGCTTGGAAAATATACTCTGTTCATTTCACTTGTACTATCCATTTTTATGACACAGGAACTTAAGTCTTTCAAAAGTGTTTGATCTCCAAACAGTCACCTCTTGGTTTTGTTGTTTGTTTTGTTGTCATCACTTTAGATATCTATTCTCTGAAGACTATATCTGAATGGAAATGCGCTCTGGAAAAATCCCTTAATTAAAAAACTTCCGATGGAAGTGTTCAAGGTAAAAAATACACGTTTTTCCTTCACTTACAGAGCCTGTGAAGAACAAATATCCTGTGGTGTTTAGCAGCTTACGTTTAACTTCTGCAGGAAAAGCCATTGCTCTAATACATCACCAAGAAAGGTCACAAGTGAGATGTTTGTATAAAATGCAGTTTTGTGTGTGGACTTTTATTCTGAGAACAGGTTGCTTGCAGCCAGTGTTTTCTGGAGGCTGAGGGTGATCAACACTGATTTCTCCAACATTATTTTCAATGTGTCTTATTCTGTAATAAGCCATCGTATCCAACTGTGAGTTTTCAAGAAAAAGATGAAAGTTGACATAAGTTGGATAGATTTCCATGAGCCTTGCTCCTTCAGGGACCTGTAGTGGAAGTGGAAGATAATTTTACTCCCACATCTTTTTTTTTTTTCTTCTTTGGTTTTTAATAGTTAGAGATGTGCTTCAGCCCTGAGGCACCAACTTTAATTTCCCGTCCAGATCTGCACTGCTATTAATCATGATGGCTGAAGATTTCTAGTTGTGCCTGACTGGTTTCTAACAGTCCTGTCCTCTCTCTGGTGCCATGGGCAGTGTGGTGGTCTCTGCCAGAGGAGGCTTGGGCTGCTGTGTTGGTGCACAACAGTGTCTTGCTGTCTCCAGTGTCACCTCCTGCTTAGGGATCTGGTGGGCCACATGTGTCCTCCTCACTACCCCTTCTGGCTCCTCCAGCTTGGGGATCCTTCAGGTTCCTACCTTAAGTAACGTTTCACCAGAACACCCCAAAACACCCATGTAATTGGTACAGTTCACATGTAAATATGACAATTAGGGACATGGTTTAATGGTGGAGCTGACAGCTTTAAGTTTATGGTTGGACTCAATGATCTTAAAGGTCTTTTCTGATCTAAATGATTTGGTGATTCTGTAGTTGGAAGAAGGAACCTATCATGTCCCATCCTGGCTGGCATGCCACAAAACCCCAGTGTCACCTTCACCCTTGCTGCAGGGACATGCTGGCAGCTTCCTGTGAGGAATCCAGGTTCCTTGACCAGCTGAGATGCACTTGAAGTAGCAACATTAATTTGGGAATTCTTTGCTAATGGCACAGGCAGTGGCTCATTTGCTTGCAATCTGAAAGCTCTGCTGGGCTGGGAGGAGTGGGAAGACACCTGGATTTGTGCAAGGCTTTTGACACTGTCCCACGTGACATCCTGGTCTCCAAACTGACCAGGCATGGATTTGACAGATGGACCACTTGGTGGATAAGAGATTGGCTGGATGGCTGCACCCAGAGAGGTGTGGTCAGTGGCTCAATGTCCAAATGGAGGCAGGTGATGAGAGGTGTCCCTCAGGGGTCAGTACTGGGACCAGTGCTGTTTAACATCTTTTTTGGAGACATGGAAAGTGAGATTCAGTGTGTCCTCAGCAAGTTTGCTGATGATCCCAAGCTGTGTGGTGTGGTTGACACCCAAGAGGGAAGGGGTGCCATCCAGAGGAACCTTGACAGGCTGGAGAGGTGGGCCAGTGCCAACCTCATGAAGTTCAACAAGGCCAAGTGCAGGGTCCTGCACCTGGGTTGGCACAACGCCAGGCACAAATACAGACTGGGGGAAGAATGGCTGGAGAGCAGTCCTGAGGAGAAGGACTTGGGGGTGATAGTTGATGAGAAGCTGGACATGAGCTGCCAGTGTGAGCTGGAGCCTAGAGAGCAACTGCATCCTGGGCTGCATCAAAAGAAGTGTGGCCAGCAGGGCCAGGGAGGTGATTCTGCCCCTCTACTCTGCTCTGGTCAGACCCCACCTGGAGTGCTGTGTACAGTTCTGGTGCCCTCAGCACAAGAAAGATACAGACCTATTGGAGAGGGTCCAGAGAAGGGCCACCAAGATGATCAAAGGGCTGGAGCAGCCCTGCTATGAAGACAGGCTGAGAGAGTTGGGGCTGTTCAGCCTGAAAGAGAAGGCTCTGGGGAGACCTTAGAACACCTTCCAGTACTTGAAAGAGGCTCCAGGAAAGCTGGGGAGGGGCTTTTCATCAGAGAAGAGAGTGATAGGACAAGGGGTGATGGTTTTAAATTGAGAGAGGGGAGATTTAGGTTAGATATTAGGAAGAAATTCTTCACTCTAAAGAGTGGTGAGGAACTGGAATGGGTTGCCTAGGGAGGTTGTTGATGCCCCATCCATGGAGGTTTTTAAGGGCAGGTTGGATGAGGTTTAAGGTCCCTTCCAACCTTAATGATTCTATGATTCTGTGATTCTGTGATGTGTGTGTTGGTGTTTGGTATGAGGTTCAAGAAGCCCCACGTTGTGGTGGGAGTTCTGACTCTCTGCCGTTCCTTTCACGCGATGCTTCAATCTGCCAACTCACTCTATTAAAATTTGCATTTGCAGCTTCAGGATCAAAAAATGGATTGTGTGGGGCAGAGATTAATCACAGCAGGGAATGCCTGATGTGTAAATTTTATTCCTGTCTGTAGGAAGGAGTGAAGAATGTTTCTGATGAGCATCATAAAACATCCTTTTTTTAAAAAACAAAAAATGTTTATAACTAACAGCTGTTTTGCTGCCTCTTCTCAGCATGCCAGACTTAAACCCACTTACTTTAATTATTGCATCAGGGTCATAAATTTAAATTCAGCAAATCCCAGTCACTGTGGCATGTGGTTGGAGCTTGCTAAGATGTTCCTCTTAGAAAACAAATGTGAGTTCCAGTGCAAAACATTGGAATGCTTGAATGGCCCAAAAGGAGAGTTACTGCAGGGACAAACATATCAAAAAGGGAGGATTAGGTGAATAGGGCTTTTTTTATTTGTAATGTGAAAGCTGAGCACAAGGTGAGCTGAATTCAGTGTCTGGTATAATCTAAGCCCCTGGTGCTAGGAAGGCAGGAGGCTGAATGAATTATTTCTGTGTGGGCATCACTTTATTCTGCTCATTTAGGGTGAATCAACCCCATCTTATGCCTCTTAATTAAGGAGAAAAATAGGAGAGCTTGTCCATGCCTATAACCCTGTCCTCCTCTAGTAATGACTTAAACGTGAGTTAAGGAAAGGCTTTGGGAGACTATCTGAGAATACACTTGTCTGATCTTATGGGATAAGCCAGTATTTATGTGTGGGAGCTTCAAGAAGAATCCCAGTTCCCAACAAAAAGTGTTTAATCCAAGATTTCTTTTTAGTATTAAAAAAAAAAAAAAGTTTCAAAAGCATTTTGTGAACCTGGCATGGAATTAGTGTCCCTACATGGTGCCTGGGGTCCTTCCTACTGCAGCTGTCCTATGTTAGATGTGATATAAAACATGGGGTGTGACAAGTGGCAACTGTTGAAGATCTTCTGGGAAGCTGGAGATGTTTCCTATGGTAGACATGGTAAACTGCATACTGAGATATTTTATTCCACGTTT